CTAACCTCCCTCTCCCGAAGCAACTCCCCCCCCAGCTCCCGCTGGAGCAGCGACACCAATCAAAGCAACCCTAGGAGCCAAGAATCAGGCCGCCGCTCCTGGGCGGACGTAGCCAGAGACCCCCAAAACACAGCGCCAAAGAATAGGGGCAACGGCAGGCCCCTGAACCCTGCTAGGCCCCGGCCTGGCCCGCCCCCTAAGCCAAAGGAAGACAATCGAATCTTTGTCACAATCTCTGACCCAGCAGTGCGATTACAACAACCCTCCCCCTTTGTAGTAAGACAGGCAGTCTGCAGGAGCATTGAAGGAATCACCCTTCAAGACATCCCCACTGCATCGCCAATTAACACAGGCTGGGCAATCACGCCTGCAGGCAAAACAATTAGGGATCAACTCCTAACCCAAGAAAACCAGGAGCTTATAGTAAAAGCACTAGGTGGGGATGCAATCAGGACCCTAGAACACTGGATTAACTACGCCGTACAAGGAGTTCCTAGCTCTTTCCGGACTCTAGATGGCACTGAACTACCTACTACCATCCAGCTAGTAGAGGAGGAAGTCTGCTCACAAACAGGCAAGCAGCCAGTTAGCTGCAGAACCTCACGACACGGGGCCAACCAGAATGGCCTAACTACCTGGATCATATCATACAAGGAGCCAGTCCGCTCATTCCAGCTCTTTGGCACTAGCCAGTTCTCTAAAGAAATCCACAAACACCCTGCTATACAGCGACACAATCCAGGCTGCCAACAATACTGCAACGCCGCCCGCTGCACTAGAGTAGCCCGCTGTGGACACTGTGGGGACCGCACAGATAGACACCAAGGGCTCTATGGGGACAGCTGCCCTCATAAAGCCAAGTGTGCTAACTGCCATGGCCCTCACCCAGCTAGTCACTCCAACTGTCCTGCAGCCCCTCGCCGGGCGCATGGACACATAATTAAGCCCACTAAGACTGAACTAAACTCTATCCGCCGCGCAGGCAGAGCAACATACCAGCATCTCTACAGGACTGTAGAAGAAACCCTTAACCAAGCAACGTCGCAGCACGAGGATACCCCCCTAGAGGCCACCTAAGAGATCCTAGCTCCCCACTCTCCTCTCCAAAGGCAAGCACCAGAGGAAGAGAGCAGGGCAGCTACAACTGAAATTAGCAGCGCCTCTCAAGCATCCTTACCCACTAGCAGGGAAAAGAGACCAAGACGGGCTGCTGCAGGCCGTGCAAACCTAAATGTGAGGGACATGTCTGCCAACAGTATGCGCCCACGATCAACTATCTACACTGACCCCTCCACCTCAGAGAGGGAGGACACCAGCATGAGCGATGAGCCACCATCCACATGTTAGGACATCCACACATGCCCTCTACCTACAACAGGCATCGACAGCCTAGCCAGCAGAGAAACCAACTCCGCATATGCTGGGCCAACGTCGGCAGAAGCTCACCCTGCCACATTACAATACTAGAAGTATCCTTCCAGAAGGGCATAGACGTTGTATGCGTCCAAGAGCCCTTTACTTGTGCTAACTCAAGGACCTCCACCCACCCCAGCTTCAGACACCTCGCACCTATCAGCACCTGGGACACTCCTAACGCACTAGGCTCAGCCCACCCTAGGGTGATGACCTATATCCGCAAAGGGCACCACCTCAAACTCCAGACCAGAGAAAGTCTTGATCACCTAGACCTGCTGTGGGCTGTTGTAAACGGAGTCTCGATACTAAACTGCTACAGACAGCCACTTACCCCAGACGTACTCCAATACGTTACGCATCTCACACCCCCCCAACACTGCGTTATAGGAGGGGACTTCAACGTCAGACACGAATCCTTCGAACCCACTGTTTCCGCAGCTAGCGGCGGCATAGAGCTCGCCAGGTGGGCCGCCGCCGCCTCTATGGACTATATTGGCGTGCCAGGACAGCCGACACACTGTGCTGGACATGTCATTGATCTCACCTTCTCTAATGTCCCGTTCGCTCAGTCTGCTGTAGATGCTGACATGCACAGCGGGTCAGACCACGAGACGATAGTAACTTCTGTCTCCACTTCCACACTCAGCACCCCGCACCTAGACCAGTATCACTATAGAGTCCCAGAGGCAAGCCTACCAAAGTTCACTGGGCTAGTGGAAATAGGCGTCCAGAGCATCCCAGATCCGCGTGCGGCACGGGATGCGGCACAACTAGACAACTGTGTTACGCTGCTGACAGAGACTGTGCAGCACTCTATACAAACAGCAGGCAAGCTCGACCGCAAGGAGGGACGCGCTGCGCCGTGGTGGACCAAGGAATGCAAGACTGCCTACCAAGCCCACAAACGCGCTCGACAGCACTACTCAGGCAGACCTCCGCTAGAAGAAACACGAGCCTTCAAGACTACAGTCAGACAGGCCAAAAGGCAATACTAGAGGCACGTCATTAATAACGCCAAGGACGACAAGGATCTGTTCAAGGTCATTGCCTGGCATAAGCTCACACCAGAGAACCAGGACACTCCGCTTATTATAGACAACAGGACAACATCTGACCCCCTAGAGAAGGCTGAGGCACTTAGACAGGAAGTTCTCAATCGGTACACAGCGGATGACGATCTCAGCCACCACCCAGATCAGGAGACTGCGGCTCCTCTGCCGTGGAGCACACACATCTCACTAGAGGAGTCTGAGCGAAACACAATAGGGGTCACCAGCACCTCCCCAGGCACGGACCGCTCTACAGTGCGACTGCTCCGCGCCTGCTGGGCCCAGGTTGGGGAACTCATACAACGGATCTTCCAGCGGTGCCTTGAACTGAACCACTTCCCTGCACAGTGGAAGCTGGCAGAAGTAGCCATGATACCTAAGGTAGGAAAGAAAGACCGGACGTCACCCCGGTCATGGAGGCCTATAGCACTCCTCTCCTGCATTGGAAAGGGGCTCGAACGAACAGTGGCCAGAAGAATCGCGTGGACGGCTATGACCTACAAGATCCTTAGCCCCCAACATGGAGGCGCCCTCCCAAAGCGCTCTGCTGTAGATCTTACTGCAGCGTTCACTCACAATACAGAGGCTGCTTGGGCAAAAGGCCAGCACGTTACCATGGTCACCTTGGACGTGCAAGGCGCCTTTGACGCTCTCCTCAAGAACCGCCTGCTTCACTAGATGGCCCAACAGGGATGGCCGCAAAGGACGATCCTCTTTGTCAACTCTTTCCTCACTGACCGAAGAGTTCAGGTGCGCCTTGGCCAGGTCACCACCCCTAGCTACCCAGTCGCCTGTGGCACGCCCCAAGGATCACCCCTCTCTCCTGTCCTATACACACTGTACCTAGCCGAGCTACTATCTATGGACACGCAACAAAGGTTTGGATACGCAGACGACATATGCCTATACCGGGCCTCGCACTCTCTAGATAAGAACGTTGAGCTCCTAGCAGCAGACCTACGACAGATCAGAGCATGGGGAACAGCGAATAAGGTCACCTTTGCCCCAGAAAAACAAGAGATGATCCACCTCACTCGACAAAAGAGCAACTACGCGCCACCCTGTGTAGTAGACAAGCAGCTTACAATTAACCTAATCTTACTAAGTAGGTCAAGAAACCAGCCAGCCCTCTAATAGCTCGGGATCTGGTTCAACCGCAAACTTACCTTTAAGCGGCACGTAGCCACACACAACGCAAAGGCGGCCAAGGTGGCCTATCACATCCGCAGCCTAGCAAACACGGCCTACGGACCACCAGCCAGCTCTCTCCGCAAGGCCACTATTGCCTGCGTATATCCGTCCCTTCTGTATGGGGCTGAGTGTTGGTACAGAGGCCGTACTAAGCCTCCACGCACACTGAAACCTGGCAGACCAGCAGAAGTCAGCGCCTATGTCGGATGGCATATAGCGGTCATGGACAAAACACTGGCTATAGCAGCAAGAGGCATCCTCCCAGTGTGGCGAACGACCCCTACTGCTACTCTCTTCCGAGACGCCGGCCTACCCTCAGCTGCCAACGCGCTAGAAGAAGCCAAACTTCGCTTTGCGACACATCTACGCACTGTAGATGCAGAACACCCACTTGCCGGCCGCATGGCAGCCATCAGGATGAGCGTAGGCAGGACGGCTGGAAAGCTGCAACGAATGCGGACCAAAGTCCAGTATCTAGGATCTCTCCTGCCTAAGATACCTAGGACAATACTAACAGCCCCCCACTACTCGCCCGGCTGCCAAACGGACCCAGCAATAGGCATAGACAAAGAGACTGCAGCAAAGGCCTTCAAAGAATGGTAGACCTACCTGCCACCTTTAGACGTGACCATCTTCTCAGACGGCTCTGAGCAGTACACAACAGAAGGAGAAAGGCGGGTTACCTATGGCTTTGCTGTGTACCAGGATGGAAAACAACTTAATACTGGACGCGGGTCGCTTCACCCTATCTCACACGTCTTTGACGCGGAAGCAGTAGGTGCGTGGAGGGGCCTCCAGCACACTATAAGACATCCAGCGCTCCGCACCCGCCGAATCTGGCTGTGCGTAGACAGCACCTCCGTCATATGGTGCTTGAAGGGCAGCGCATCCCCGACCTCTCAATGGGCCTTCCTGGAGTGTCACGGCGCTATGGATACCCACGACGTCTCTATCAAATGGGCCCCTGGGCACCTAGGCATTGAAGGAAACGAAGCGGCAGATAGGCTGGCAGACCTAGAAGCTCAGCACCCATCACCGCCAACTGGAAAGGCTGCTATGCCTACACTCTCAGGCATCAAGACAATAGCCCGCCAGACACTGCGACACACACAGCAGATCTGGTGGTCTGGAAAGAAGACTAAGCTCTCTGTATGGTACAAAAGATGGGAGTTAGGCTACTCACTACGCAGCAGACTACCTGAGTTGGACCTACTAAGAGCCACCCTAGCTAGACTGCTCTCAATCCGATCTATGCACGGCGACTTTGCCTAGTACCACCAAAAGTTCAGCCACAACGACGCAATACTCACCTGCTCATGCGGACGCAACAAGACGCCAGAGCACCTTGCGCTCTGCCGCAAGACCCTAGGGACCTTTGGCCGGTGGCCACTCCGACCAGCTATACCACCGTCCAGCTGGAATGATGGCCTAGCGTACACTGCTGCGCTGATTGGAGATCCAGAGGCTTTCGAAGCCTTTCTCCAACTCACACAGTACTACACCAAAGTCTGCCCCCGGTAGCTCACCCTGTGCTGCGACAGCAGCAAACAACTGCACTCTTTCCTTACTCTCCTTCTTACTCTCCCTCTTCCTCTCTCCCACTCTTCGGGCACTTACCTGCCTCTGAACACAGACAAGGGATCCACCCTAATGTACACAGATTGCTCAGTCTCCCCAGTTGGAAGGGGAGCTGTAGCACAACATGGTAGCAACACCCGCGCAGGCAAGAAATGCTTTCTAGGGTAGTGTATTCGCACTGTAATCCCATAGCTTAGCACGTCGTATATGCCCTTCGGGAGGCGAGATGGTGGACTTCATCCTCATCAATTAGACGTAAAATGAATACCAACCAACCAACCAACCTATTTAACCCAACGTTATCCTCCGCTGCTTCGCTGAATCAACCCCTGAGAGCTCTGACGTATCCAGCTCAGTTTCCACATACAGTGGCAAAGACTGGCTCAAAATTGAGACTTTGTTACGGAAGGTAGTGAGATAGGAGAGTAGTTAGGAGGTAAAGAAGCTGAAGCGCTCACTCCACCACATCTCAATCTAGAACTCAATCCTCCACCACGAGAATGAGGGCTTTAAAAGGGCTCTTAAGACTCAAAAGAAGCATAACAAGAAGAGCAAGGGACCTGCACTTCAGCTTGAACAGGAGGAGTATCATGGTGGAGCAGTATTCTACTCTCCTCACAGAGTTGAGAGAGCACGCAACTATGAGAGGACTAGACAACAAGAACAGGAGGCAGAGGAGTCTAAAAAAGCAGAGGTAGCTAGGTCAAGGCACGCTAATAAGCTATGCAATGAGAAGATCGCTCATGAGAAGCGTGAGAAGCGGGTAAAGGAGAAGGCAGAGCGAGACCAAGTCAAAGCTAAGCAGGCTGAGGAGGTAGCTGAACGTAAGGCTCAAAAAGAGCGTAAAAAAGAAGCTAACAACGCTGAGAAAGCTGTAAAATTGTCTCATAGAGACAAACGGAAGGCTTCACGGTCTGTAGCTCCCAGAAAGAAGCATGATTGTGGTGCAGCAGCTACGCAGCGTGGTGTCGTTACTGCAGTACCTGCCCCAGTACAGTCCGTGCGCAGTCAACGAGCCAGTTCAGTCAACGAGCCACCCCACCAATATGGGACGATCAAAAAGATGAGGTTATTGAGCCACACACAATAGCTATTTTCGTGAGATTTTTCGAGGTATTGCTATAAAGAAGCTTCTAGATCATTTGCACTGCTTTAATCTCGCTGGCGTCTTGAGTTGGCAGCCATTTCTGCCAAATTTGGGTGGGGGAGACGCCTCAGGCGGACCAGCGTTAACCTGACTTAATGCAGCCGCACCACGACAACGCTTTGCTGGATTTTCTGCTGCTTTGTGTGAGGCTTTTCGCTTACGCTTGTTTGCTGTATCGTGGCTTTTTTGAGTGGTTGCAGCTTGTTGTTGTTGCTTTTTAAGCGCCCGTTCTGCAGCGCGTTCCTCAGCGCGCTGTTTCTGCTCGCGATCACGCTTAATTCTGGCTTGTTGTTGAGCCACCTTCGCAGCTTCTTGATTCTGCTTTTTGTGAGCTGCTTCTGCTGCTCTTGCCTCTCTATCGCGAGTTTTTTTGAGTTGTAGCTCCGCGGCTTCGTCCAGTTCTGCGGCCTTGCGCGCGCGCGCGCTGGCAAGCTTCCTGGGACTGTAGAATACAGCACCGCCGTGCCAATTGTCGCCTTCTTGTGTAGTTAGTGTTGTAGACTTGGTTAGGCGCTTCTTGATGAGGTTGATTTTAGCGTGTAGCTCCGCGTTCTGGAGTTGTAGAAGCTCGTTGTTGACCTGCAGCGAGTGCAGGCCTTGGGACAGCCGTTTGGCTTCAAATTTGGCCTTGTCAGCCACTGCAGCATCAAAAATTTTGCGCAATTGAGGCCAGGTATCGCCGTCGCCTTGCTCCCCAATTCCTGGCTCATCATCTTGTTGTTGTGGGCCATTGTTGAAGCGTTGAAGTACTGGGTCTGCGTCCATCGGCCATACGCCTGTAGCTTGGAAACTCTTCAATATAAGATCGTGAGTCATTGTAGAGCTCTAAGCCGGCCAAAAGTTGCTATAGAAGTCGCGTTTGGTGATCCTTGAGAGGCCTTGGGTTCGCTGGAGGCGTTGGGTAAGCTCCTCAGTGTAGTGCTTTGAAAGCGGCGCAAAGAGCACAACATCTAACGGCTGCAAGCTGTGGGTTGAATGGGGAGGATACACTATAACCATGATGCGTTTGGCTTCACAATACTCCAAAAAATCTGGCGTGAGGTGGCTGGCGTGGCCGTCAAGTATCAGAAGGCGCCATTGCCAGCAAGCTTTGGCTGCAGTATAGCGTTTGAACACCTGTTAAAGCCAGGCAAGTCCCAAGGCGTTATTTGACCATCCTGAAGCTGAGTAGGATACAAAAATTTGGTGTTATTCAGCTAAAAGATCGTTAACCTAGCTTGATTGAACCCCGGAGGTGCCCTAGTAGATGAGAGCGGGCGGTAATGCATCTCCAGAAGCGCATACGCAAGCCAGCAGCGTTACCTATTCTCTGTTGCCATCTCTTATTGCTGCTGTACGCTCTTTTGACTTATAAACTGCCTTAGAGAAGATCCTTTTGGTGCAGTGGGCGATGCCAACGTAGAAGCCTTTCTCATCCATATTGTACGTGTTGCGCTTGTCAATGCCATGTTCTCGCATCTTAGAGTGCAGCAAGTTAAAGTACAACTTGTATTTATGCTTGTTGTCAGCCAGGTGACGCCTACAATCCATACCAGTGTCGTATTTGGTGATGAGCTTGTCAGGATGGCGGTGTTGAAACTGGGTAATCCAGCTTTCAGAGACCTCTTGCTGCGCAACCACGCTGCTGAAATTTTTCAAAATACTTTGTGTAGGTGGTACACCATCCCTTGTACACCTTTCTATGTATCTAATTAACTCATCCTCTTGTTGTGGGTTAAGGTTTTGTTAGTCTTTGGCCGCCTGTGTGTCCTTAGAGCCCTGTGCACCCTTGTGCCTTCGCGACAGCGTTGTTTGATCAACTCCAAATGCTTTTGCAACTTGGCAGTACAAGAATTTATCTCCAGCCTTACGCGATTTAATATATTTAATTGCTTCTTGAATTGGGTCTATGGTTGTGGAGTTATGACGCGTTGAAGTTGGGTGGGTTCATGTGGCAGCGGGGTTTGGGGTGGCTCGTTGACTGAACTGGCTCGTTGACTGCGCACGGACTGTATGGCCGAGCTTAATCCAAGGAAGCATCTGAACAAAACCATCAGAAGTGAAGGGAGACAGCAATACCCCCAAATTTCACAAGGGTCGTCCTTCCGGTCAATCCGGGCCAAAGAGGGGCTACCGGAGGCCTTTCGGCTATTCAAGACCCAGAGTCACCTGTCTATGGTGCGGAGAGACCGGAAATATCCGGCCCGACTGCCTCAAGAACAAGGAATCTGACAAGGACTCTCCCTAGACAACCTTGGGAAAAGTGAAAGGGCAGAAAGATTAATCTCCGCTCTTGCTGCCCATGTTGAAGTCTCTACTATGGTATTCGGCAAAAGTAGTGTACAATGGCCGTGCACGCAGGGGTGTGAGCAAGAAAAGAGCCAGGAAGTGGAAGTGGGGCTTAACACAAGCACCATCCAATTAAAGATAGCTCTGCTGATGATCAAGCAAGTGGTTGTTAATCACAAGTACAGCCACTGCACTGACTAGTGTACAATACTTTTGCCGGATACCACAGTAAGGAGAAGAAAGAGTCAGTGACCCTTCATGAGGCACTGTACCAAACCCTGCAACTATTGACAGTCAAGGTTGTCTTTGGGCCTTTTGGGACAAATCAGCCATAAATGCGTTGGTTAATGGCGGTTCGCAACTCAACTTGTTGTCAAATATTCTAGCAAAGAAGTTAGACCTTTAAATAAGTCCTATAACATGCCTCACAGGTATGTGACCGGCCCGGGTATGTGACCGGGTTTTGCCAAGACCACATCAAACTTCACCTATAATGTCTCAACGCAACAACACAGTACAGCTCTCAAACAAAGTAGATATACAGCTTACGCTTCAGGCTATTCAAAAAGACGCGACACTTACAGTATCACGCGCAGCAACTATCTACAAGGTGTTAGAAAGTACGCTAAGACGACGACGCGCTGGAATGCTCTCTCAACGCAATTGGAAGCCTAAATCAATAAACCTGACAGGTACTAAAGAGGAGGTAATTGTCTAGCATGTATTGAGGCTAGACGAGCAAGGATACCCGCCGCGGCTCACTAATGTGAAGGATATGGCCAATTCTCTGCTTGCTGAGCGCCACCACCCACCTGTTCGCAAGAACTAGGCTAGCACCTTTGTTAAGTGTTGGCTAGAGCTTAAAGTCAAGTTTAATTGAAAGTACACCTGCAAGAGAGCCCTGTGTAAGGATCCTAAGGTGATAGGAGACTAGTTCCGCCTAGTGGAGAATACTAAAGCTAAGTATAGTATCCTAGATAAAGACACCTACAACTTTGATAAGTCTAGCTTCATGATAGGCGTTATATCTACTAGAGCTGTTGTCACAGGCTCTGAGCGCTGAAGAAGGCTAAAGACAGTGCAGCAGGGCGACAGAGAGTGGACCAGTATTATCCAGGGCATCAATGCAAAGGGCCGGTCTATCCCGCCCTTTGTTAACGTAGGTGTAGGGCGAGTCGCCCACTTTTGCCAAGACCCTCCCCCATCAAACCCTATTATGGCCCAAAACACCACAAACTGGCGCTGCATAAGGCAAAACAAGCTGTAATATTACTAAGAGACCTCTTTAATATTATTCTTGCACATTTGCGTGTTGTGTCTACCCTCTCTACACTGTCTACAGTGTTGTTAGGAGGGTTTACCTCCTTTAGCGCGCACTAGCTTCTTTCCCCTCTTTCTATTACTACGCGCTCTAAACACCTTTAGAGCAGTTAACTGCTAGCCCTCTTTAACTGCAAGGCTTCCCTTAGCTTAAATATACTTTCTTTTGTGCAATTTGCGTTGTGTAGTGGCCTTAGCAGCTACTTTAAGCTTATAGATTTGTTTTTGTGCAAGCGCAAGCTCATGCAACAGGATAGCTCCCCCCTTTGCGTAGTGCTTAATTGCGCTTAGAATAGAAGTAGGTGAGCTACCCTGCTCCCTCTTATATTTGTCCTAAATTAGAGTTAATTGCAACTTAAATTCTAGGGTATTGCTTAGGGTTTGCAACTGCTAGGGCTTGTTGTTACAGGGAGTAGTAGTGATAGAGTGCGCAGCTTTGTATTAAGGGATAATATAACCCTTTCTAGGTTAAAAGGGACTAATTTAGCCGCTTAGAACCCTCCCTAGATATTATAAGGGGTTATAGCTTTCTTGTAAGCTGCTTTAAAGCATAACAGGAACTCCTACTTTGTAATGTGGTTAATCTAGTTACAAATAAGCTTATTAACCTTGTCCCTATACGCCTTCCTTAGAGGGCTAAACCAACTCACGTGAAGTGGCTGCAGGTGTGCGATAAGTGCGCAGGCATATATAGAGCTATAATCTCGTAATTTTTGCAGTATTGCTAGAATTCTGTAGAGTTGTGGCTCTCATAACTATTAAAAATTAGCGTACAGTAAGTACTAACAGTGTGTGTCTTTGTATGCCTGTTAAAGTGCTTCAACTAGTTCAACCTTATGTAACGGTTGAGAGGAGAAGCAGATCACGTGTTGTTGGCGGTGGTCTGGTGCTACTTCCTCATGTTGTTGAGCACCTCTTACCTCAGCTGCATCACAAACACGTCATCAAAACAGACCCTGCAGAGAGCCTTGGAGAGCAAAGACACGAGCAACCCGACAACACAGAACACGACAATACACTCGTTATATACATTTGCTCTTGATACCGCAACAGATTAGTTAGTTGTAGGGTGTCTTGTGATCCTTAATCAGGTGTATGTGGCGTACAGCAATTGTCTTGCTGATGTTTGTGTTCAGGTCAGCCAAAGCCTTCATCTAAGTTTAATACTCAGAGCAGCGGCGCTCCTATTAATTGCATTCCTATTACCAAGACTCTTGGTCGTCTGCAGTCAAATTAGAGAGCCTAGTAGCTCTATCTTTGTAGTTAATAAGTTGAGGCTTAGTAGCCTCTGTCAGTTCAGGGAGAAGCTCTCTAGATATATCAGGATTAATGTATTGACAGAGACTTTGGTGGTTGGCAACGTCTCAGCGAATAAACTACTAACGTACTCTATCACCGAGCCAGTCATATCACCAAACTAGTTAAAAACTCTTAGCGCGCCCAACTTATGTTGCAGCAACTTAAATTACTTGCTATTAAACAGTAATCTAGTGTACTGTGTACTTGCATTAGATTTAGAATCTTCTCCTGTATCTTTCTAATACGTTTAATGTAACGGTCTAGACTCTAAAGCTAAAGAAGAGCTAGAGCTAGCCGGTTACATTAGCTTATGTAACGGTCTAGACTCTTAGAGTCTAGACCGTTACAGCTTAGCCGGCTTGGCTTAAGCTGGATATATATTATCTACGCAGTTAACTAGGCGTCTAGTTAACTTGTGCATGCTTTTTAGCAAAAGTTGTTAGGAAGTAGATATCCTTTATTGGCCTTTGGCCAGACTACTACATTTAAGTGTTGTGCCTAGTGCCCCTACAGTTTCTACAGCGCTGTTAGGCTAAATAGGTCCTTTCTTAAGTATCTGCACTACAAGTCTTCTTTAACAGCTAAGCTACTACAGACACCTTAGCAGCTACCTGTGATGCTGCTAGGCCGTACTTAAGTGTGCTGCTATGCTAAATCTGCTTTCGCTTGCGCGACTTCCTCCTACTTATAACTACTAATTGCTCTTTAAGCTTAGTAATACAAGCAGCTTAAAGCGCTTTTTAGTGCAGCATTAATTCACCACCTTTAATAAGCTAAGAGAAGCTAGCCTAAGCTGTGACTAGTAACTAGGTAAAGGAGTTATATATAAGCCTTAACTAAGATCTAAACTTGTGTGTATTGCTTAGAGTCCTTAACTGCCACAGTGTCTCTAGTAGAGGGGGTGATAGTAGGGTACAGTGCCGCACCTTAAGGCAATCTAACACTACCTGCGCGTTAGTAGGGACTAGCCCTAACACCTTAAAGGCCTTCTAACAGTTAGCCTTTATAAATATATTAAGGAATATGTCCCTAAAGGCTAGTAGGAAGCCTTCCTTATTAATATAGAAGATGTGTTAGTGTGCTAAGTCTTAAACACATTAGGAGTACTTATACTTTAAAAGTAAGAAATAGACTATATTAAGTAGCTAGAGGATGCGTAACAAGTAAGGTAGTATATAGAGAGTAAGGATTTAGTTCTCTAGGTAATAGTCCTTAAACTCCTAGTTAAGATAGCTCTTATAGCTGTCTAAGATAAGCAACCTATACACTTCTACCTAACGCGTCTCTGTATGCGTGTTAAAGTGCTTTAACTACTTAAGGCTAAGTGTGTTATTTATCTAACTATTCTTAGAGACTAAGAGCTTCTAATTATAGGGTATGTCTATCTCCTTATACTAGGCAGAGATGTGGACGCGTCCTTTGTAGATGATGAAAGGTGGGGTTGCATACCCAGCGGCGCAGATGCTCTGAATAATGGTAACCCACTCGCGATCGCCTGGCTGAACAAGCTCTAGCTGAGCACGTCTCTCTAAGCCTTTTAAATCCTTTAAGGACAAAGCAACACCTATCTAGAACCTAGTTTTATTAAAGTTGTGCATGTTGTTATTGCAAACGCTATACTTAACTTTAGTATCCTTGTAACGACGCAGGCAAGAAGAGAGATATCCGGAATAGGTGTGAATCCGCTACGAGGCATATGGGAGTGCTGGGATGATAAGAACACCAGGATATATTCTCTACACCTATAGGTCTTGTACAAAAGGATATAGAAAAACTACTCTACAAAGCTACAGTTCCTTGCTCCTTATATATGAGGGTTTGGTGGCAGTTTGGTGTAAGCTCATGCCATGCGACAAGGGCCATGGTCATGAGTTGCTAGAACCGTATCCTAGTGGTATCGGGTCACTGTTCGTAGAGCGTTGTTACAATCCTCTACTTGCTTAAACTACGTGCTAATTATCTTAGGATCTTCCTGTAGTATCCTCTGTCTATCCTTAGCTTAAATAAAGGCTATTTTAAGCTTGTCTAAACGTGTTACAAGCCTGCTAGCCTATAGCTTACTAACAGGCTCTTCACTACGCACACCAAGTATCTTATTAGCTATATCTGCTACCTTATATAGCTAGGGCACAAATCCTTATAATTAAGGTTAAGTATATACTAGACAATTGTCTGCTCCTCTAGTATAGTAAGTTTCTAGTAATTAGCTTGTATATCTAGTTAAAACGTAATATTGCAAAGGCAATTAGAGACCTACTAATAAGGTATATTTAACGCTCTAGCAGCGCAGTGGATACTGCGAAATTAGCTAGCATAGAACGCCTAGATAGCAAAGATAACTCTGCCTTCTCTAGTAGTATTCTAAAGTTGTTGTTGTTAAGGCATGTTGTGTTAGGGTAAAAGGTGGTTGTGCCAAGAGAAAGTGGCCGGTTCAGTGATATGGCCGGCTTGGTGATAATCTACGTTAAGGATGTATTAGAAAACTGTCTGCTCTTCAGTTGCAGTAAGCTTCTAGCAGTTTGCGCGTACGTTGAGTCAAAATGGAGTATTGTTGGCGCGTTCAGAGAGCCTGCGCTGGTTGACGTTAAACGCAGCAGCAGCAGCCCGATGGCTCTGAAACTGTCCAGTATTATAGGCCTGGAGAGCAAGCTGCAGTGTCCCTTTGTGTTGAAGCAATAAGTCGTGATGTTGTTAAGACATACTGTAAAGTGCAGAGTTGTGTTGGTCTTGGCAGGTTTTGACCGGTTCGGTGATATGACCGGCTCGGTGATAGAGTACGTTGGGTAAAATAGTCGTTAGGCGTGTTCATTATGACTGACACGCTTCACATCGGGATTAGACTTAGTAGCTATTGTAGAGGCTGTAGTCGCATGAATGGATCCAGGCAGAGATCCAGACAATGTGTGTTGTGGGCATACGCGGTAATAGATGCGTCGTGGGCAAATGCGGTAACAGCAACGTGCGACTTGTGAGTAGAGTAACGTTACAGCAGCGGATGAGAACAATCCTGTGCACCCAGGCTCATAACTGTTGCAGTGGAGTGAACAGTGCGCTTATGCAGGAAGAATTGAATGATTGAACTTAGGTTGTATTGTGTGCAGCTACGAACAGTAGATATACACGATTGGCTGTAAACAGCGCTAATGTAGGATGGGTAGTCGTATCTCACCGAGGGTGAGGTGCGGTTGCCTATGGGGCAAGAGAGATTCAAACCGTGACAGACGAAGCATAGCTTAAAGTTAGTTTAATAAATATAACGTATCTATGTGTATTATAAGTCTGTGCATATTAATAGTAACCTAGCTATCTTTAATGCCTATAAACTAAACAATCAACAATAGGTACCTTAAGGAAAACAGGACGTAACGCTGGATCTGTAATATCTGGGACAGATGGTTTGCCCGTAATGTTCAAACAATGATTTATGTGCTCTTCCTCCATAACGTTGCTAGGTACGGCCCATAACTCATGGTTCAAAAGCTTCATACGCTTCTCAAGTGTGTATATGCAGTGAAGATAGTGAAAAGTGCCGTGCGAGTAGATGAGCTCGTAGTGGCCTCCCAACGTATACTCCTTGTCAGCTTTATGGAGGCCGTCTGGATCGGAAAACATGGATATGTTGAGACTCTCCCACTCCGAAATATACTGCTTATACATGGTATGGTCCAGGCACTCCGGCCGCACCCAGGTGCCAATGATGAAGTCGAAAACGCATCCCTTGCGTTGACCTTCTTCTGATGTGGCTCCGCACGAGCCCAGATTGGTGGGCACCGGTAGCGGCCGGTAGGAAAATCTCGTCCCGAAGTGATATGCGCCTGCCGTGGTGACAAAAACCAGTACCAGCAGTGAGAGTGCAAGTGCCCATGTGCCAATCTGACTCGTTGCTCTCCACGCAAGCGGCTCAAGAAAGTGCAGCTTTTGGCGGAAAGAAGTCTTCTCAGAAGGGCCGCCAGGGAGCAAAATCTCCTCGTCAGACCGTCGCTCCTCGCTAGCGTCGGAGAGTAGTCTATAGTTCTCTGCCATGGTGGGTCCCACACTGGAAAGAAAGGGGCTCAAGCTGTAGATTTGGGCACGAAAGCAAGTGACAGATTTGAAAGAGACCAGAATGTGTGGCGGTACTCTTTGTTCTGACACTCTCCTGGTAGAAAAGTATGTTTTATACCCGACAGGGAAAATCCAATATTTACCCGAATAGCCGTTGCGTCAAACAATCCATTGTTTTTCCGCCTGATTTACCGATTGCATCCTCTGAGAGCTCCTAAACTGCCATCTCTATCGTGGGAATCCATATTTCGCGACTTATTCTTCGGTAGTTAGAGAATCGAATGTCCAAATTGAGGTTCATACAAAGTTCTCCATGCTACAGCCATTGCTAATACATATATATGCAAGTTACCTAGACTTTCTCTATCAGAGAAACAGAATAACTACAGAACCTCAATCACACCAGTGACGTGCTGCGCGTAGATCGCATCAACACATCCCACAATAATGTTCACGTGGTCGAAGAAAAAGCGGCAGGGCACCTCACGCCCCGTTTCAAGAGATCCAACCTATGACCCATTGCTCGCAAGCGAAGAAGAACAAGACTACGAAAACAAAACACCTGGTGAATCCCAACGATTTATGACCTGGGCCGCCGTCCTCGGTATCCTCGTCCTATGCACAGCAGGAGCTTCACTCATAACAGTCGGCACAAGCAGTCTACAGCCATATGCTTATGAGCGATATGACCCGCGCATCAAAAGGTGCGGCGAAACAGCCCAAGAAGCAACGACACGCGGTTGCGAGTTCGATCCTATCACGTTCTCCTGGTTGCCGCCCGACTGTGTCGACCATGGCTTGATCGACGAGTTCCGCGCCACGGGGTGGACCTTGTATGCAGGTCGGAATACAACAGCCACACTGATCGAAGAGGACTGGGCCATGGGAATAGATGAGAAAAGGCACGCCTGGCTTACCAGAAAAGACTATATACTCCACTGCGTTTTTGTGTGGAAGATAATGCACCGGGCTATTGCGTTGGGGAGAAGCCTTCCCACAGTCGTGAGTTCGTACGCTGAGACCGAGCTTTGTGGTCGAATATTGGAGGAACATGAGTCAGCAAATGACATTGCTTATAAGGTCGCTGTACAATTTCCGGCATGTTAGTTTGTAGTAGACTAAGATTTTTATTCTATGCTATTAACGTACCTCACGGGTGTGTCGGTCACACGGGTGCGTCGGTTACTTTTGCCAAGCTCCTACCAAACTACCCCTTCTACACTAATGCCTCCATAACACCACCAGTCTAACGCGTCAAAGGAAAGCCAGGTACAGCTTGCACAGGATATCAAACAAGACGCGAATATCTCTCAGCGATGCGCTGCAGCCTACTATGTTATACCTCAAAGCACACTAAGTGACCGACGCGCTGGACGACGCTCACGAGCAGATTACAGGCCTCACTCACGGAATCTGGAAGACAACGAAGAGGAGGTGGTTGTTGACCACATACTTGGGCTTGTTGCGCGAGGATTTCTTCCAAGACTCGCAGCTGTGGCTGATATGGCCAACTCTTTGCGCGCGGAGCGCAATCTAGGCCATGTTGGCACAAACTGGCCCAGTACGTTCGTTAAGCGCCAACTAGAGCTCACAGTGAAGTTTAATCGCAAGTATGATTACAAGAGAGCCCTCTGCGAGGATCGAAAGGTCATCCTTGGCTGGTTCTGCCTTGTGGAAAATATTAAAGCCAAGTATGGTATTGTCAGATTCTGTTGCGGCATCAAGGGCAAATGTATATAACGATTGTATTGTGTTCTTCTGTGTTGTTGTTCTGCTTGTATCTTTTCTCTCCAAGGCTCGCTGCGGGGTCTGTTTTGATGACGTGTTTGTGATGCAGCTGAGGTAAGAGGTGCTCAACAACATGAGGAAGTAGCACCAGACCACCGCCAACAACACGTGATCCGCTTCTCCTCTCAACCGTTACAGAACCAGCGCACTTGCGCAGATTTCACACGCTGTAGCACTATACTAGAACTCTCTACTCTAAGGATTGCACACTAGAATAGTGTTGCTAAGTCTAGCAACTGTACCGTGTCCGTGCGCGCAATGCACGCGGTCGCGCAATGCACGATATCCTCAAAATAGGCTACTTTTTCAACGCGTCACAACACAACAACATAACTCCAATTGAAGCTGCGCTTGCGCATATAAATGCACTTGAATCTGGAGAGAAACTTGTCTATTAAAAAATTGCAGATCAATACAGTTGCAGTCGGTCAACGTTGTCGCGGAGGCACCGGCAGCAGACAACGTCGCGTGCAGTCAAGGACTCTGAGCAGCACAAACTCAACCCACAACAAGAGGCAGAGCTTGTAAAGTATATACAAGAACTCACTACCCGTCGCTTACCACCTACAAGAGAGATGATACGAAATTTCGCCTCTGCTGTAGCGCAGGAGACGCTCTCTGATAGCTGGGTCACTCGCTTCCTCCACCGTCACAACAACTGCCTCCTGCCACGTTGGGCCACCGCTATGGACTCCAATCGCCACTACGCCGAGTCATATACCAAGTATAAACAGTACTTTGATATACCCTACTCTAAGATTGATGAGTACAACATAGAGCCAGAAAACACATACAATATGGACGAGAAGGGCTTTATGATAGGGGTCATTGGCAGGTCAAAAAGAGTATTCAACAAGCTTCAATATGAGAGGAAGGAGGTGCGGCAGTCTATACAAGCTGGTAACCGGGAGTGGGTGACAGTGCTGGCTTGTGTATGTGCTGATGGGAGTGCTTTACCACCTGGTATCATATATGAGGCAGCTGGGCCAGCTATACGATCGAGCTGGGTGGACGATATCAAACCAGAACAGCACTCAGCACACTTCACTACATCCCCTACAGGCTGGACAAACAACAACGTTGGCCTTGCCTGGCTTGAACAGGTGTTTGATCGCTATACCAAGCAGAAATCACGTGTGCAGTACCGGCTCTTAGTTGTAGATGGCCATGGCTCCCATATAACGATGGAGTTCATCAAGTACTGTGATGATCATCGAATTCTGCTGGCTATACTGCCCCCGCACTCAACCCAGACTCTCCAGCCGTTGGACGTAGTCTGCTTCGCCCCACTGGCTCATTTCTATACTATTGAGCTCACTGAGTACCTCCAGCAAAGTCTAGGGTGGCTCCCAGTTAAGAAAGGTGACTTCTTTCCACTATTCTGGCGTGCTTGGGTGAAGAGCTTTACAGAGAGTACTGTATTGAGCTCCTTCAGAGTTACTGGGATATGCCCACCTGATAGTCACCGAACACCAATCTTTCGATTTTTGGGTTACCCTCCTGGGAGCCCTAAAAATCACAGCACCTGAACAAGCTCGCCGCGCCGTTTCCAGGCGTGCCTCTAACGTCCACCTAGGCCCCCGCGCTGACGCGCAGAGGAGCCTACTAGGATGGCAGAGTCACCCTCTTCTCGCCACACAGGGTCCCCAGACCCGGTTGGTTGGTTGGTTGGTTGGTATTCATTTTACGTCTAGTTGATGGGGATCAAGTCCACCATCTCGCCTCCCGAAGGGCATATACGACGTGCTAAGCTATGGAATTACAGTGCTAGCACACTACCTTAGAAAGCATTTCTTGCCTGCGCGGGTATTGCTACCATATCAGAGCTACAGCTCCCCTTCCAGTTAGGGAGACTAAGCAGTTTGTGTACATCAGGGTGAATCCCTTGTGTGTGTTCCAAGGCAGGTAAGTGCCCGAAGCAGGTAAGTGCTAGAGAAGTAGGGGAGAGGGAGAGGGAGGGTTAGAGGGAGGGTAAGGAGAGAGTACAGCTATTTGCTGCTGTCGCAGCACCGCGTGAGCTACCAGGGGCAGACCTTAGTGTAGTACTGTGTGAGTTAGATAAAGGCTTCGAAAGCCTCTAGATCTCCAATCAGCGCGGCAGTATACGCTATGCCATCGTTCTAGCTAGTTGGTGTTATAGGTGGTTAAAGTGGCCATCAGCCAAAGGTCCCAAGGGTCTTGCGGCAGAGCGCAAGGTGCTCTAGCGTCTTGTCATGTCCACATGAGCAGGTGAGTGTTGCGTTGTTGTGACTAAACTTTTAGTAGTACTAGGCGAAGTTGCTGTGCATAGATTAGATTAAGAGCAGTCTAGCTAAGGTGGCTCTTAGTAGGTCTAACTTAGGTAGTCTGCTGCGTAGTAAGTAGCCTAACTCCTATCTCTTATACTATGTAGAGAGGCTTCCTTTCTTCTTAGACCACTATGTCTGCTGTGCATTGTGCAGTGCTTGGCAGGCAACTAACTTGATGCCTGAGAGTGTTGGCATAGCAGCTTTTCTAGTTGGGGGTGATGGGTGCTGGGCTTCTAGGTTCGCTAGCCTGTCTGCCGCTTCGTTTCCCTCGATGCCTAGGTGTCCAGGGGCCCATTTGATGGAGACGTCGTGTGTCTCCATAGCACCATGGCACTCCAGGAAGGCCCACTGAGAGGTAGAGGGTGCGTTGCCCCTGAGGCACCATATCACTGAGGTGCTGTCTATGCACAGCCAGATTCGGCGAGTGCGGAGCGCTGGTTGTCTTATAGTGTGCTGGAGACCCCTCTATGCTCCTACTGCTTCCGCGTCGAAGACGTGTGAGGTAGGCTGAAGTGACCCGCGTCCAGTGTGAAGTTGTTTTCTATCCTGATATACTGCAAAGCTGTAGGTAACCTACTTTTCTCCTTCCTTTGTGTACTGTTTAGAGCCATCTAAGAAGATAGTAATATCTAAAGGTAGGAGGTGGTCCTACTATTCTGTAAAGGCCTTGGCTGTAGTCTTTTTGTCTGTGCCTATTGTTGGGTCTGTTTAGCAGCTAGGTGAGTAGTGAAGGGATGTTAGTATTGTCCTAGGTATCTCTGGCAGAAGAGATCCTAGATACTAGACTTTAGTTCGTATTTGTTGCAGCTTTCCAGCTGTCCAGCCTATGCTCATCCTTATGGCTGCTGTGCGGCTGGCCAGTGGATGCTCCGCATCTATGGTGCGTAGATGGGTCGCAAAGCGGAGTTTGGCTTCTTCAAGCGCAGTGGCAGCTGAGGGTAGTCCGGCGTCTTGGAAGAGAGTAGCAGTAGGGGTTGTTCGCCACACTGGGAGGATGCCTCTCGCTGCTATAGCTAGTGTTTTGTCCATGACAGCTATGTGCCACCTGACATAGGTGCTGACTTTGGCTGGTCTGCCTGGTTTGAGTGTGCGTGGAGGTTTAGTACGGCCTCTGTACCAGCACTCGGCCCCATACAGAAGGGACGGGTACACGCAGGCCAGGGTGGCCTTGCGGAGGGAGCTGGCTGGTGGCCCGTAGGCCGTGTTTGCTAGGCTGCGGATGTGATAGGCTACCTTGGCTGCTTTTGCGTTGTGTGTGGCTACATGTTGCTTGAAGGTAAGTTTGCGGTTAAACTAGATCCCTAGCTATTAGAGAGCTAGCTAGGTTCTTAACCTGCTTAGTAAGATTAGGTTAATTGTAAGCTAATTGTCTACCACACAGGGTGGCGCGTAGCTACTCTTCTGTCAAGTGAGGTGAATTATTTCCTGTTTTTTAGGCGCAAAGGTGACTATGTTAGCTGTACCCTATACTCTGATCTGTTGTAGGTCTGCTGCTAGGAGCTTAACGTTCTTATCTAGGGAGTGTGAGGCCTGATACAAGCATATGTCATCTGCATATCTGAATCTTCTTTTTGTGTCTGCAGACAGCAGCTCTGCCAGGTACAGTGTGTACAGGACTGGGGAGAGTGGTGATCCCTGCGGTGTGCCGCAGGCGACTAGGTAGCTAGGGGTAGTGGCTTAGCCTAGGCAGACTTAGACCCTTTAATTAGTGAGGAAAGAGTTAACAAAGAGGATAGTCCTTTGCGGCTAGCCCTGTTTAGCCATCTAGTGCAGCAGGCGGTTCTTAAGGAGAGCGTCGAAGGCGCCTTGCACATCTAAGGTGACTATTGTGACATGCTGGCCTTTTGCCCACGCAGCTTCAGTATTGTGGGTGAACGCTGCAGTAAGATCTACAGCAGAGCGTTTTAGGAGGGTGCCTCCATGTTAGGGGCTAAGGATCTTGTAGGTTATAGCAGTCTACGCGATTCTTCTAGCCACTGTTTGTTCGAGACCCTTTCTAATGCAGGAGAGGAGTGCTATAGGCCTCCAGGATCAAGGCGAAGTCCTGTCCTTCTTCCCTACCTTGGGGATCATGGCTACTTCTGCCAGCTTCCATTGCGCAGGGAAGTAGTTGAGTTCAAGGCACCGCTGGAAGATCCGTCGTATGAGTTCCCTAATTTGGGCCCAGCAGGCGCGGAGCAGTCGCACTGTAGAGCGGTCCGTGCCTAGGGAGGTGCTGGTGACCCCTATTGTGTTTCGCTCAGACTCCTCTAGTGAGATATGTGTACTCCACGGGAGAGGGGCCGCAGTTTCCTCATCTAGGTAGTGGCTGAGATCGTCATCTGCTGTGTATCAATTAAGGACTTCCTGTCTAAGTGCCTCAGCCTTCTCTAGGGGGTTAGATATTGTCCTGTTGTTGATGTTAAGCGGAGTGTCCTAGTTCTCTAGTGTAAGCTTATACTAGGCAATAACCTTAAACAGGTCCTTGTTGTCCTTAGTAGTGTTAATAACATGCCTCTAGTATTGCCTTTTAGCCTGTCTAACTGTAGTCTTAAAGGCTCGTGTTTCTTCTAGCAGAGGTCTGCCTAAGCAGGTCTGTCGAGCGCGTTTGTAGGCTTGGTAGGCAGTCTTGCACTCCTTGGTCCACCAAGGCGCAGCACGTCCTTCTTTGCGATCAAGCTTGCCCGCTGTTTGTATAGAGTGCTGCACAGTCTCTGTCAGCAGTGCAACACAGTCGTCTAGTTGTGCCGCATCATGTGCCGCACGCGGATCTGGGATGCTCTGGACGCCTATTTCCACTAGCCCAGTGAACTTTGGTAGGCTTGCCTCTGGAACTCTGTAGTGGTGCTGGTCTAGGTGCAGAGTACCGAGTGTGGAAGTAGAGACAGAGGTTACTATTGTCTCGTGGTCTGACCCGCAATGCATGCTAGCATCAACAGCAGACTGGGCAAATGGGATGTTAGAGAAGGTAAGGTCAAGGACATGGCCAGCGCAGTGTGTTGGCTGCCCCGGCACACCAATGTAGTCCATAGAGGCGTTAGCAGCCCACCTGGCGAGCTCTATGCCGCCGCTGGCTGCGGAAACAGAGGGCTCAAAGGATTCGTGTCTGACGTTAAAGTCCCCTCCTACAACGCAGTGTTGGGGGGGCGTAAGGTGCGTAACGTATTGGAGTACGTCAGGGGTAAGTGGCTGTCTGTAGCAGTTGAGTATTAAGACTCTGTTCACAACAGCCCACAGCAGGTCTAGGTAATTAAGGCTTTGTCTAGCCTAGAGCTTCAAGTGGTATCCTTTGCAGATGTAGGTCATCACCTAAGGGCAGGTTGCGCCTAGTACGTTAGGAGCGTCCTAGGTGCTAATAGGTGCGAGGTGTCTAAAGCCTAGGTGGGTGGAGGTCCTTAAGTTAGCACAGGTGAAAGGCTCTTAGACGCATACAACATCCATGTCCTTCTGAAAGGCCGCTTCTAGGATTGTAATGTGGCAGGGTGAGCTCCTGCCGACGTTGGCCCAGCATATGCGGAGCTAGTCTCCCTGCTGGCCAGGCCGTTGTTGCCTGTTGCGGGCGGAGGGTGTGTGTTAGTGTCCTAACATGTAGATAGTGACTAATTGCTCATGCTGATGTCCTCCCTCTTAGAGGTTAAGGGGTTAGTGTAGATAGTTGGTCGTGGGAGCAGACTGTTAGCTGACATGTCCCTTACATTCAGGTTCGTATGGCCTGCAGCGGCCCATCTTGGTCTCTTTTCTCTACCAGTGGTGGGCAAGGATGCTTGAGAGGCGCTGCTTGTTCCAGTTGGAGCTGCCCTGCTATCCTCTTCTAGTGCCCGCCCCCGTGGAGGAGGGTGGGGGGCCGCTATCTCCTGCGCGGTCTCTAGGGGGGTATCTTCATGCTGAGGCGATGCCTAATTAAGGGTCTCCTCATGCTGCGGCGTTGCCTGGTTAAGCGTCTCTTCTACCGTCCTGTAGAGGTGCTGGTATGTTGCTCTGCCTGCGCGACGGATAGCGTTTAGTTCAGTCTTGGTGGGCTTGATTATGTGTCCATGCACCCGGCGAGGGGCAGCGGGGCAGTTGGAGTGACTGGCCGGGTGTGGGCC